CTCCGGCTCCGAGGCCTCCTGGCCACCCCATTAAACTGGGGGGGACACCTCTTTGGACTAGCCAGAGGCCCCCAGAGGTGAAACAATGCCAATAAAAGTGATCCATTCTAATGGCCATTCTTTAACATCAGGCATGACAGGGGACAAAGGGGCTACCCACTGCTCTTTAAAAACGAAACAACATTTCTTTCTCAAGGTGGCAAAGATGTTTAAAGCTTGGGGTCCCTGGTCTGGTGTTTGGCCATGCCATGCCCTGCCTTCTGGGACGTTTTGCTTCCAGGAGAGGTCCTGTGCCAGATAAAGGCTCAAAGGGAGAAGAGGAGCAGTCTCTCCCCCCCCCCATCACTCTACCTTGGCATTATCCTGACATCAGACCAGCAATTGGGGGGGCGGGGGGGGAAAGGGAATGTTCTCAAGTTCAAGTGATCAGTTCGGGTAGGAGGTCAGGAAGGCAGCAGAGAAAGGGGGCAAAAAAGGGATGGGATTGTGTCCCTGCGCAACAGCAAGCCCAGCACACGCTGCCATACAACAGCAATGACAACCACAATAACTGAGTCAAAAAGGAACAAAACAACAAACAACCCCCCCCCAATCTGCATCTTCTAGCCATGTAATGGGAAGTCGGGGTCCCCGTGCCTGACCCTGCTGGGCCCATCTGGAGGCAATTCTCTTTCCACATCTGAAAAAAACAAAATGAACACATGCCTTCTGCTGCTATCAGATATTTAAAAAGTCTCTCCCCCCCCAATTTTTCTTTTCTCTTTAAATCTCTCACAGAGATGGGGAGGGGAAAATGTCTCTTTAAGATTGTCAGCCCCAAAGAATGAGGAAAAGGGGCTTGCAGCTGTTATTACTGTGGTTTTCAGTGGGAACAGGGAAAAGACTGAGGAGAGGGAGTAAAACTGCAATTGAGAGAGAGAGAAAGAGAGAGAGAGAGAGAGAGAGAGAGATAGAAGGCTTCCCCAGAAGCTGGCTGGGGAGAGGGAGTAAGAGAGAGAGAGAGAGAGTGAAGGCTTCCCCAGAAGCTGGCTGGACAACTTGCACTTTCCAAGAGGGGTTTATCCTGCACCAGATCTCTCTCCCTGACCTGACCTGGTGGTCAAAAGCCTTGACAGTGGGACCGGCTTCTGAGGAATATATATATATATGGTCATTGTGGGGGTATTACAGGACTGGCTGGAGCGGATTGTGCCTGGAGTCACAGAAGAGAAACAATTGGGTGAAATTCACAAGAAAGGCTCAGCTGCAATTTGGAAGATTATTCAGGTAAGCTTTCCAAGTTTTACCTGGAAGACGGTCTGTGGGTGTTCAGGAGGGCTTCCTCTCTGGTAAATGTGCGTCAGAGGACAGAAAGGAAAATTAATTTTTAACAGAGTGGCATGAAGCAAATTCACTGGAAAATGTGTTTCTCCTCTGAAAAGTGGGTGTTGTCATGTAACTGAGGCTGAAAAATCGAATTTCCTTCAAAGTGTTTTGAAGCAGTAAGAGGAAATTTCCTATAGGTCTGTAGCAGCGCCTACCCGAAGGAAACCAGTTCTGTCTTCAGGGTTGTCAATAAATCAGTAAAATGAACAGTGTGGATTTGTAGGCTTGACCTCAGAACAAAGGCAATTAGCCGGATCTCTCTGGATGCCCCCCCCCCCCCATGCCTTCCTCGCGGCTTCTTCTGCCCAGATGAGCTCCAGGCCTCACAGATCTTTAGCAAGGTAGAAAAACCACCCTGTGAATCCGGGCGAAGTAATGGCCTTTAGTCCAGTGGCAGCTACGATTCCCACTTGCAAATCCTCCCCCCCACCCCCCGATTTATATGCAAGAATATCAACACAGCAGCAAGATGTTTGATGGGGAACATTTTGTCAGGGCCTCATGAAGAAATCTCTCTTGCCTTGACTGTTGGAAGTGGGGATGGGCAGCCGGGTGGCTAAGGCCAAAATGGGCACATTTTAGGCTTCTAAGGTGTTTGGAAGCACCTCAAGGTTATCAAGGCAGACACGAAAAGGAGGTCCTTGGATTGAGAGGGTCCTGAGCCAGGATCTTGTCTTGAGCTCTAGAAATGAAGGGAGCAAACCCCTTCCTTCTGCAGAATTATTTTGTTGGAGAACTTAGAACTTCTTTGCTGCCATCGTCCTCGCAACAGAGGCAAGGATCTTCCTGTTCCTTCCTCTGCTCATCAACCCTACAGGTTCACAGCCTGTGGCTTCTCAGAACACAAGGAAGCTGACCTGCTCTAGGACTCAGCTGAGCCCATTTGAGGGCCTGTTGCCTCAAGAGTTAGGGCCACACCGTCCTTTGCAATAATAGCCATGCTCCCAGCAGAATCACTGGCTAAAACTGGAGGAAAGCCCACCAAGGACACCACCTGAGTTGTCCTTCTCCAGGGAGGGGCCAAAGGAACTGGCCTCCCAGTGCTTCAGATGGTAGTTGAGGTGCATTGCATTGTGAATCTCAAGACGAGATGGTCCCCACCAGATCCGCCTTGCTGATCACCCCACCCCAGTTGGTCAAGTACAGACCTTCTCTCCTCTTCCACGTTCTAGAAGATAAACTTACCAGAAGGCAAGGCAGGAGTTGCATTGGCCTTTCTCTCTTAGCAGCATGTGAGTTCCAGCAGAGTCAGGGCTGCTGACATTCTCCATTACTGGCCCCTCTCTCCTGCCTGACTATCTGGCCCTATGCAAAGATTCGGTGTGGCCAGCCCCCCACAGCCCTGTTACTGCCATTCTCCTTGCGGCTGGTTTCTGCCCAGATGCTCCGCTCCAGCCCTGCATGCCCTACTTCATGGATACCCTCACCAGTGTCTGTGTCCTCTCCCCTTCCTGTTTAGTCTGCTCCTTTGGACACAGTTCTATGCACCACTCACTGTGTTCATCATCCATCCATCTCACCTCAGTTATGCCTGTGAAATCATATTTCCCTTCTGTCCTGCCTTAAGATGGCAAGTTCATCCTGTTTATCTCTGTGTTTTAGGAAAGAGACTCTGAAACTGGCAGCCAGCTAGGTTCCCTTAATGGAATAGTCAGTCCCTCTCCTCCTCCTGCTCCTCCTCTTCCTCCTCCTCTTCCTCCTCTCCTGATAGTACACCCTTGTCTCAGTTTCACAAATTTCCTCCCTTGCCCAGTAGGTCACTTTGACATCTCAGATTTCATCACCGTCTCCTGAAATATTTATGGTGCAAAGCCTCTGCTCAGGTTTTTTGCCAGATGCATTTCCATCCCAGCTTCCTTCCAGGAAGCTCTGGGCAGCCTGCAGGGCTCTTTCTCCTCCTCCCTCATGTGAGGTTGGCTGAGAGGAAGAAACCAGGCCAGAGGAAGAAACCTCATTGAGGTTCCTGATTCAGGTTCGGGGTTGGGGGCAAGTCCCAGTCAAGGGTTGAACCACTCCTTTACATGCAAGTCCTTTGGCTTGTGGGGCTCCCGCCAAGTGCCTTCCTCCCAGCCTTCCAGAGGGGCATCCGGCTTCCCAGCGGAAGTCCTAGAAATGCTGGACAAGATGGGACTTCAGGCACGCCTGATGATGATGCTGCCTGAACGGTTGCCATTTGTTTCCAGAATTCTTCTCTCCTCCCCCCCCCGAGTTCTCAACCCTCAACCAGAAAAAGGGATGAGACCATTCTCTGTGACTCAGGATTCCCACAAACCCTCATATCATCCTCTGTATGGCAGAAACAGTTGTTCCTGTGGGCATCGGCTGGAAGACATCATGGTGAGTGCCCTTGTTGAGTCTTGGCTCTGAATCCTGATTAGGGAGAGGGTCTACCTCTGCCCTCCTGGCAGGGAGTTGCCAACCTCCACCCCCACCTCCTTGTCCTCTGGGCAGCTGCAGGGTTCCTTCCTGGTCCTTGGGGAAATTAATGTGCTCCTTAGAGAATACTCTTCTTGGCAAGCTCCAGGCATACAGTAGGTTCATTATCCTAGAGCTCAATTGACCTCCACGTTTCCTCTGTGTGTGTGTGTGTGTGTGGAAGACATCATGGTGAGTGCCCTTGTTGAGTCTTGGCTCTGAATCCTGATTAGGGAGAGGGTCTACCTCTGCCCTCCTGGCAGGGAGTTGCCAACCTCCACCCCCACCTCCTTGTCCTCTGGGCAGCTGCAGGGTTCCTTCCTGGTCCTTGGGGAAATTAATGTGCTCCTTAGAGAATACTCTTCCCAGGACTCCCTGGGAGTCACCATGATGGTTATAGTGGCATAAAAGTTGCATGTTTCCGGTCTAGAGGTATACATTCTATGTTCCATTTCCCCCTTGGTGAAAGGTTATCTATATACAATTTTGATGGTTACAGAAACCTCAGAGGCACCCTGGGTCTTGCTACTGTTCCGTGAGCACCAAAAGAATGAAGGGGACGGTGTCATGGACTGTTCCCTCGATCTAAGGGGTGAGGGTGTGGGAAGGAATGTCTCTTGAAAGCCAGCTATCTGCCTGGCCACTCCAGTTTCAAAAGGGGGCACTTCTCAGCTGCGGTCATCTCCAGAAAAAAGCAGAGGCCCCCGGTGAGGGGTGGAGGTGAAGGTGAAGGCAGGGGGAGGCTCAGCAATCTGGAGAGTATCTGTTCTTGCTCAGCAAGAATGTCAGCCCCATGCAGTCGCTCGGCTTCCTCACTCCCACCCCCACGCTGATCACACCTCTTGTGATCCCTCAGATGGCCTGCCCTGGATTCCAGAGACACTTTCAAGCCTGGGAAAATACCCAGGTTGGCACCAGCTGCTTGCACCTTGGCCGAAGTGGTGCCAGCAACAGACTGCCCGGAGTAGACCTGTTCTAGATGAGTGGTAGGTAACTAACTAACTAACTAACTAACTAACTAACTAACTAACTAACTAACTAACTAACTAACTAACTAACTAACTAACTAACAAATAAATAAATAAGGTGCAGCAGAGAACCAGATATAGTCCTCAACTCCACCAAAGCCATGCAGATCAACTGGATTCAAACTCACACCCTCCTCCATTTTTAGCACACTTTGCAGACGGAAGATTCCGTCCCCTTATTACTTGCTTTGCCCTTTTTACGACAAGATCTCTCATGGGCAAATATGTTCAAGTCTTTAAAACATGGGCAAAGGATCTAGGAGGCTGGAAGCAGACCAGGCTTTCTTCAGTTTTGAATTGGATACTAAAACACAGGACAAAGAAGTCAACTTGTAAGCATCTGGAGAAAATCTCCCGTGATCAGTAGTAGCCACTATGGATTTCTTCATAAACTGTGCTAGACATCTCTTTTGCTGACCAGTTTTCCGGCTGAGTGGATGGTGGGTATGCTGTGGAGGCAACGTATCTTTAATTTAAGACTGTATTAGATAGAAAAGGGCTGGTGGGTATGCTGTGGAGGCAACGTATCTTTAATTTAACACTGCATTAGATAGAAAAGGGCTTGGTGATGGTCATTGGATTATAATGTCTCAGTATCATGGTGGGTTCACACAGCTTAGAAATGACTAACACACACAACATGTTATTCATCATTGGTTTCTTTTATCAATGGATTGCATTGTGATTGTAATTTAACGGGGGATAAGTTTGCTGTGGAGGCAACGTATCTTTAATTTAACACTGCATTAGATAGAAAAGGGCTTGGTGATGGTCATTGGATTATAATGTCTCAGTATCATGGTGGGTTCACACAGCTTAGAAATGACTAACACACACAACATGTTATTCATCATTGGTTTCTTTTATCAATGGATTGCATTGTGATTGTAATTTAACGGGGGATAAGTTTTATCTTTCATCCGCCTCCTTATAGCTTTCAAAGGAAATTTGCAGAGAATGTTCCGATGTAAGGAAGCCTCTGTTGGTTTCCTTGCGTGCCATTTGAAGAGCGTGTTGGTGGAGAGGCAGCCTTCAAAGCAAGCGGGACGTCAACATGTTTGAAGCCAGGTATGTTTCGGGACTGGGCCAGGACACGGTAGAGAGGCCGCAGCCGGGGCAGAGGTGGGTGGGAGAGTCATTCTCCTCCACCCAACCTCTTGTCTTCTCTGGAAAATAACCTGCCCGGAGGAGGCGCTGCTTAAAAAAGCTGCATGACTGCTTTTCAAATGGTCTGCTGCCTTAGTGGGATAATTGGGGTGCTCACATGCCGACCTCTCCCGGAGAAAGGAGACCTCCTAATAGGAACCAGGTGGCGAGGCTCCCCCCACTCCGGGTTGACCTCAGGTCTCTCCCAGACGGGGCTGTGAGCCTGACCTTGTCTTGGGGATGAAAGGAACTGCCCGCTTCCTCCTCAACACCCCAAAACCCCTCCATGGAACACAAACAGGTGTGCGGACCTTAGATCCGCCCCACGCTAGCAAGGGCTCCCTCGAGCCCAGACCCCAACATCTGGGTCCCGCCAAGGCCTTGGCTGAGCCCCTCTAATAGGCTCCAGGACAGGAGAAATGGTAGGAGGAGGGGTCCCTGCCTGGAACGAGAAGGAGGGCCTGGCAGGAATACCCAGCCTCCAAGGAGGCAGGCAGATGGCCCTGGTCAGGCCAGGGGAGGGGAGCCAGGGAGCCTGGCCTGGCCTCCCACCTCCAGCCTCCTCTCTCCACCTCACCCCCACCCTCTATTGCTTTCTCTTTCTCACCCACCCACCCAGGGGACAACTGCAAGCCACAGAGACAAGCCCAAGGAGGCGAGAGGGGGCTTCACTCACCTATCTCTTTACGAAGGAGCACCTATGTATCTCAGGTAATCCCACTGAAGAAAGAAAACGGGTGAATGCCCCACCCGGTGTGAGCCCGCACAGTTTACACAAGAGCTTCCAGCCATACCATATCAGATCCAGCCCCCTGCCTCAAATTTGGCTGACCCCATCGTGGCTTCTCAGTCCAGGGAGCTGGTGCTGGCAAGCATCCTTGCTGAGCTGGGCCTATGTTGGAAACGCCCCCCTCACCCCCACCCCCTTTTATTATTTTTTCTCTCACGCTGAAACAGAAGAGCCTCTGGAAGTGGGTCCTGGGCTGTGGGGGGGGGCTCACCTCCCTGCAGACGCGATGCCCAATTCTGCCCTCTGGCTCGCGGCCCCCGCCCCCAGTGAGCAGATTTCCAATGAACCCTCCTGTCGGCCGCCTAGGAGTGCCAAACACGAGCTGACGGTCGGGGATCCAGGCCTGGGTCCAGGCAGGAGAAGCTGCTGGAAGCAAACCTGCTGCTCAGGTTCCTCCCCCAGCTGGAGAAAAGCCTACTGGAGCCTGGAGGCTTCAAGGCCAGGAGGCAGGAGGCGGCAGCCCAGGACGCCTTTGGACAAGGGCATCTGTTCTGTCAACAACCACCGCTGCTCCTCGGAGGCCCTTCAAATGCCGGCACACCCGCTCCCAGGCAAGAGCCTTGCCCCTCCAGTCCAGGGGGGCAAACGTGCTGGAGAGGGCAGGGCAGCAACACCTGGTGCCCACCTGCGGCAAGTGGCAAGTGGCAAGTGTGGCTTGGCTGGCCCTTGGGAGGGCCTCGCTGCCTCCCATGGCGGGCAAGAGAAGGCGGGATGGGGAGAGGGGCTTCCTCAGGAAACACAAAGGGGTGGGTGCTGATGGATGTCACCGGTGTGTGTGTGTGTGTGTGTGTGTGTGTGTGTGTGTGTGTGATTCTATAGCTTTGGGCAGAAGGTTCTTGCAGAACCTTCGGCATCTCTCTTGGTGACTTTTGCAAGGATGACGAGAGGGTCTTAGACCTTTGCACGAGGCACAGGGAGCCCCTGGGGCAGCAGTTCCTCTGCTCCCAGGAAGGCTCAGCTCCTGCCAGGGAGGGTCTCTGCAGGGCCCACGGCACCCCCTGTCCTCTTCCAGAGCTAAGGGAGTGTCAATTGCAGGGGGCGACAGGACGGAGATGGACCAAAGGGTGTGTTTGTGTGTGTGTGTGTGTCAGGGGTGGGTGCTCCTTCACTCCCGCGCTCGTTCCCCGGCTGCCTTGCCCAGATGGTCTTGACGGAGCCACCTCACAAGTAGCTTTGCTAAAGCTGCAAGTTGATCTGATGGAAGGAAATTGAATTGTTGTTGGGGGGTGGGCGGGTGGAGCTTTATCTGGGTTTTAGGCCTTGATGAGGGGCTCGGTCCAGGAGTGTTTTGCTGGCCTTTGATGAGAGACACAGCTTTGGGTGAGAGGTCAGGCTTAAACCCTGCCTCTCGGGGTTCTCATCAGAGAAATGTGTGTCACTGATGATGGCCCCAGAGACAGGCAGAGGGTGGTGGTTTTCTTTTGTTCTGTAGATCACACCCCACAATTTTTTCCAAGGCATGCTGGGGGTGGGGAGAGGGGAAACCAGACCTCAAACTGATGCAAACTGGCAGGATATGATGATAGGGCTGCTCTGGAGCCAGGATGGGCACAGCCTGCTCTGAGTGCTGGAGGAAGGACCAGATTTGACATCCAGCCCTCTCGGGAGAGATCCTGGCTCTGCTGGAGGTCTGAGCGGTGGGGGGGGGGGCATCTACCTCTGGGAAGGCTGAGCCAGGCACTGCCCTCACAAACCCATTTGATGGAACCACCCATGCTATCAAAACAACTATGGACATGGGTTTTTGGCACGGGTGGGAGAACGGTGAGGACGTTGGGTGGACTATTTTGAGGACATTTCTTTTAAATGAAACAAACCACTCTTGCACGGCACTGCATCTTTTAGGAGTGCCTCCCAGTCTCTGCACAGGTCTCTGTTTTATAGTTTTATATTTAGGCTGCCTCTTGCTGGCGTTCGATCACAGAGCTGCGCCTGCACGGACCGACTGCCAAAGTAGCAACCCTGGAGGAGGCTTCCTTTTGCAGCACCATCCGGACCTGCCAGAGCATGCTTAGGCAGCCTTTTTTTGCTTCGTGTTTTTGAACTTTAATCTTGATTTCTGAACTTTTGATTGACAGGCCGTTGTCAGTGGCACCCTAGATCCAAACATCACGTGACATAATTGAAGATTAAATCAGGACAAATGGTGGGAATGAGCTTGGCTCATTCCTATCATTGCGAGACAGAGAAACTACGAAGTTCCTCTCCTTCCCTGACAAACGCTTGCATCTCTTCCTTCTGCTTTGATTGGTATCTTTCCATTTGCAAGAGCTCTTTTTGCACAAAGAATACAATGAATGTGAGTTGTCCAAAACTACGAAAGCTGCTGCCTTGTTCGTGGACATTTAGAAACTAGAGGCTTCAGATGGGTTGTTTGCCTCTTTTCAAGAAGTACCAGATGGGTTGTTTGTGTCTTTTCTAACAATCAGCCAGTTCTTCTGTGTTTGCTGTGTTATGTGCTTAACTTTGCAGAAGGAAAAGACACTTGTTTTGCACAGAAACATTTTGGGCAAATTTCAGAAACCTTGATGGAAGAAGCATTTGTTTTGTTCTCATGCTGAAGGTGAGGAATTTTCAGGGGCTTTGAGGTGACTGATAATGTAAAGGGACGAGAACAAGGAATATGATGAGTATTCCTCATATCCTAAGAAACCAGTCATTTTAAAAGCAGAACAGTGGTAGGACCGCTCTCTCTCCTGCAGGCTGGTAATCCAGAGCACCCTGGTGACAAAGTTAGAATGGCCTGGAGAGAATCTGCAGGGGTGGTTCCCAAAGATGCTTGCGTGGCTCTTTCTCTTTGGTTTTCCTGTCCCAAAGAAGAAAACTAATTGGGTTGTGCAGAGTCCAGCCAGCACTCAAACCACTGTGCTGCCACCACATGTTCTCCTCAATGGGCGTTTCTCCAGTGCTCACCTTGCACCTGAGGTGCTGTGGCCTTGGAGCTGCTTAAGTGGTCTTTGTACAGGAATGTTTTGTTCAAGGAAACGAAAGTGGCCAGAAGGAGAATCGCTTGGAAAGCATCATGGCTGGTGGGCGCAAAGGGGCTTTTCCTGTTTGGCTTCTGGATCTTCTGGGTGGCCGAGAGGAAGGAATCTTGGCCAGGCATGGCCAAGCGAGGTGGGGTCCAGGCACATGCCCGATGAGGCACCCTCCAAAGTGAGGGTGGGGAGGGCACTGGACAGGTTTCCTGCAGCATGCTCTCTCTCTCTCTCTCTCTCTCTCTCTCTCTCTCTCTCTTACACACACACACATGCACACGCACACGCACACACACCCCATTTGTGGAGCAGAGCTGCTCCCCGGGGAAGGTCAGGCCGGCTCCACCTCAGCTGAACTTTCATCAGGCACGACTTTCTTCTGAAAGGCTTTGCCCTGTATGATTGGTTTAAAAACGGGCTTTGAGACAATCTTTTAAGTCTGTTTATAGGGAATATCGTAATCTGGTTTTTCAAACGTGCTTTTAATCTAGTTTTAATAGTTACTATACATCACTTTGTGAGGTCTGGTGACAGGAAAAAAAAGAGGAACATCGGAAGAGTGTCTCGTGTGTTGCTTGGTGCAAGATTTTGTGGCCTGCAGCCATGTCTTCCGTGTCCTTTTGGCAAAGCAGGGCTGCCGTCCGGGGAGGCTTAATGCCGTCTGAAATGGGTGAGTCTTCCAAGAGCCACGAAAGTCACGGCAGCGTTTGCACAACTCATTAATGGACCATGCGCAGGTGCATGCGCACAGCCCCTGGCATGGTGCAAAGACTGAACAAATGTTGCCGGCCAGCTTGCTTCAGCCTTTGTGATGAGGTGGTGGAGATAATGCCGCTGAGTGATTCACCCCATCCTGTGGGGCCTGGGGGCCACGGAGGTGGGGAGGGCAGGGGCTTTCCGGCAGGCTGAAGCTGCCCTGGGTGGCCCAGTGCCGCCGCTGGTCCTTCTCCAGAAAACCCCAGGGCTGGCCAGTGCCTGGGCACCTCCCTCTCCTGCTCCTGCTCAGTGGGGCACTGGTGCCACTTGACTTTATAGCCAGCATCTGAGGGCTGAACTTCAAAGATGTGGCTTTAATAGGTTGCTGCATGTTTGGGGCAGGATGCCCCCATCCAGGCTCTGCTTTCCGCTTCCCCCTCCAGGCACTTAGTCCCTAATTAAACTGTGCACCGCATTCCTTTCCTGTTGCACCTCATAAACCAACAGAAAATGCCCCCGTGTGATGTGGAGGATAATGGCGAGGCTTCCGACCATGCTGTGGGCTACAATCAGTTGCGCTGGCAAGCCCGCCAACCGGCCCTCCCCCCCCGCCCCCAGCCCAGCCCTGACTGCTTGGCTTCACTAGTGAAAGTGTGACCTGGAGGCACTTTTCTCCTGGTTCCCTCTGTTGGGGAAGAAGCAAGGGAGTTAGAAAGGGAAACAATTGCAGAAGGCAGAGATAGACATTAGGAGCTATGGCCTTTGCACCAAAAAGGCCTCAAGCAACCTGAACAGATAAGTGAAATAAATCTACTCTCTACTCAGTGTTTCTGGGGTGGGGTTTCCTCCAGAAGCTCCCTCTGTGTGCTTGAGACTGGGGGAGGGTGGGTGGGTCAAGCCTGCATCCTGTTGTCCCACACACTTGCTCAGGAATAAGGATGAAAGCGCTCCTGTAGATAAATATATCCTGTAGTTTAGTTCTCATTAAACCAGAACCATCTTCCGTCTGCTGAACGAAGCAGGAATTAGTGTGACCAGAGGCCAAAGGAAGAAGGGCTCCTGCCCTTTGAACCCTTCTACTGAAGAGTAGGTCAGTTCTGCCCTAGTTTGCATCTGGCCACCTTAACAAAATATAAGCCCAGGATATCTGGTGGCCCAACAACATCTTGAGCAGAAGTTACTGTTCTGGCTCCCCTTGCAATCTCTGAGCGAAATAAGGGCCTCTCCGGCCCCTCCCTCAGCGCATTCACTTCATGTTTTCTTGAGGCAAAGAGTCCCCCCAGGTCTTCTTCTCCTCTCATTTTAAGCCCCACTTTTTCCGCCAGCACCATCATCCCATTGCAGAGGAAGAGAAGATCCCCTTCTCGGGAAGAAGCCCTCTTTCCCTGCAGCATCTGATCTGGGAAAGCAAAGGGGGGGGGCAGAGAGGAGGAAAGAAGCTAAAGGGGAGTGATGTGGTGGTGGGGAGGAATGGATGCTGCTCAAGGGGTCTGAAGGAGTGAAGTGAGGGGGTCAGGATCAAGCCAAGCCCCCTCTCCGAGAGGAGCAAGGGGCGGTGGCCTTTCTCAAACCCCTTCTTCCACTTCCAGGGTGCTTGGCACAGCTGATATAAACCATTTTTTCCTTTTCACCAGGAGGGAAAAGAAAAACAAAAGGACTCTTTGGCCTTTTTTTTGGGTGCTGCTTCTCCCCAAGATGGGGGCCAGGAGCTGTTTGGGCCTCTGGAGCCTTTGCTGCTCTCCCTGTCTTCTCCCTTACCCACACCTCACCCCCAGTTTCATGACTGACACAATTGGAAATGATGCCCTGTCGCCTCCCCCTGATCCCCCCACCCTCTCGGCATCTAAGGTTACTGGTGCTCCAGGCTCAGTGTGAAATTCCCTTTGCCGGAGCTCATTAAATGGGTCAGTGGACCCGTTCCAGCTTCTCTGTGGTTCACAAAGGGTTGTGTTCTGGCCACCCCACCGAACTCCCTTCTCCCAGGCTGCTGCCGATGGGTAAATGCTTCCAGATGGCTCACCTCGGCATCTCCAGAAAGATAACAGAGGGCTAATGGCTTGCAGATCCAGAGCCCTCCCTGGCCAAGGGGGTGGGGGCTTCTCAGAGGAGGGGGGAACCGAGCCTGGATCCGCACCCTGGCGTGCCTCCTTTGGCACCAGGGAGGAGGGAGGCAGTGGCGGCAGCGCCCACGCTTGGGCCTTGTTGGCAGCCTGACCTTCCAGAGCTGCTAAATCCCAGCAAATTTTTGCAGGGAAACTTGAGCTCCATTTGTCCCTCCCTCTTTGGTCCTTGAGGCTCTCATCACAATGCAAGGCCTGGTAGGCTGCCCTCCCTGCAGGGAGAAGGCCACTGCCTAAGTGGGTAGAATACATCCTTCCCCCCCACCCCCACCTTTCTGCCAGTTCTGGCACAGAGTCACATCCTGGTGGCTTGACCGTTGTCACCAACAGGTGTGCAGAGCATCTCTCTGCAGGCACGTAATTAAGGGGCAGAGCAAAGGCCATTCATTCCCTCACATGCATATGCACATGCATGTGTGTGCGCGCACACACACACCATCCATCCTGCAGAGGTGTGCAGAGCATCTCTCTGCAGGCACGCAATTAAGGGGCAGAGCAAAGGCCATTCCCTCACATGCACGCATGCGCACGCACACACACACACACACACACCATCCATCCTGCAACAGAGGACCAGCTCAGACTCTGTCCACCCCTGATTGGCAATGGCCCCACTGCCGGCCTTCGGGGACACCTTCATTTCCCATCCTTGAGTTTGCTTGGACTCCAGCAATGCCCCCCCCCGTACAAGAAAGTGACTGTGGCAGAAGCCTTCAGGGACAGCTGCCCATCATCCCCAGGCTTGGATCCTGTTCAACAGCTGGTGCTCTGAATGGCAAAAGCCACAGGATCCTGCCCAGAAAGAACAAAGCCAATTTGGGACTGTGCACCACCGGTCTTTTGCTCCGGACAAAGTCACTGCCATGGCGGTTCCTTTTTGGGGAGGGGGTGCCTGTGAAATGGACCACTTCCTTCCAGGCTTCCTCTCGCAGGTGCCTTTACAGCAGCCATGATGGTGAGAGGCCCCGAGTTGTTTTGGGGGCTTGACATTATTTATTCTCTGCAGCACCTTCTTCCACGGAGGAGACTGCCTGAGCTCAACAGCTTTCAAATATTGGAAGTCACACTCGGCTAGTGAGTGGCACCCGTCGCCAAGCGCTCTCCCTGGCTTTGGATTGGGCCAGGGTGGGCCTCTCAGCGAAGCAAAGTGTGACTCCATCTGCCAGTCAAATATGCAGTGGAAGATTTGTGGTGGCTTGGATGTTTGAACTTAAAATTGGATTTTAATGATTGTGAAGTCAGAAGGGTGAAATTTATTCTCGCCGCCTAGGCATGATGGGGCATGATCAGGCCCACGCTCACCGCTAAGCAGCCCTTCCAGATTTAGAGGAATGACGTTGGACCTCTCTCTCTCTCTCTCTCTCTTTCTCTTGCAGAATTCCTGCTGTTAAAACATCTGTTTGCAAGCACATGTGTGTAAGGAAGGGTCAGCCAGCAAGGGGGAGAGGGTGACCCCCTTGAGACTGACTCTCAGTTTACAGATGGTTTGGCGTGGACACATGAAGGGCATCTATCCAGGCCTCCTGGTGCTGAAGCCCAAGCCCCATCTCTCTCTGCTCCATCTCCTGGT